TTAACACCTCTCCATATATCTCCCTCCTACCTTATATTAACACCCTCCCCTTATATCTCCTCCTACACCCTATATTAACACCCTCTCCCTTATATCTCCCTCCTACACCCTATTAACACCTTCCTTATATCTCCTCCTACCTATTCACCTCTCATATCTCCCTCCTACACCTTACATTAACACCCTCTCCCTTATATCTCCCTCCTACACCTTATTAACACCCTCTCCCTTATATCTCCCTCCTACACCCTATATTAACACCCTCTCCCTTATATCTCCTCTACACCTTACATTAACACCCTCTCCTATATCTCCCTCCTACACCTTACATTAACACCCTCTCCTTATATCTCCCTCCTACCCTATATTACCTCTCTATATCTCCCTCACCCTATATTAACACCCTCTCCTTATATCTCCCTCCTACACCTTACATTAACACCCCTCTCTTATATCTCCTCCTACACCTTACATTAACACCCTCTCCTATATCTCCCTCCTACCCTATATTAACACCTCTCCCTTATATCTCCCTCCTACACCTTATATTAACACCCTCTCCTTATATCTCCCTCCTACACCTATATTAACACCCTCTCCCTTATATCTCCCTCCTACACTACATTAACACCCTCTCCTATATCTCCCTCCCACACCTTACATAACACCCTCTCCCTATATCTCCTCCTACACCCCATTAACACCTCTCCCTTATATCTCCCTCCTCCTACACCCTCTCCCATCTCCCTCCTCTCCTATATTACCTCCCTTATATCTCCTCCTACCCTATTAACACCCTCTCCTTATTTCTCCCTCCTACAGAGAAGATCCAAGAAGTATGGCGACCTGAAGGGAGAGGTGATCTTTGTGACCTGCAGAAGGGAGCCAATGGATCGGGCATCTCCCTGGCAGGTATAAGGACCGGACGCTCATGTCTGCCTCTGTCTTCGCGGTCTTAACCCCAGCGGTAATGCCTTCAGGACGGCCGCCTCAGAGTTGGTGACGAAGCATTGAGGTGAGTAACAAAGTGGCTGTAGATTCTTTGGATTTGGGGAGTCTCTGGGGGGGTGATTTGGGGTGAGGATCGTTGGGTGAGGTTTCTGGGGGTGGAGGCCAAGTAAATGAGGTCTCGGAGGTGGGTCAAGTAATGAGGTCTCTGGGGGTGTGAGGTCAAGGATTTGGGTTTTGGGGTGTGAGGTCATAAAGGGCGTTTCTTGGGGTGGAGGCAAATGATTCTGGGTGTGGGGTCAAGTAATGAGGTCTCTGGGGGTGAGATCAATTGATTTGGGGGTGGAGGTCGGCTGCCTCTGGGGGTGGGGTCCCTGCATGTGGATCTCAGGGTTCTGGGGGTCTTATATCTCGGGGTCTACATCTCTGGGGTCCACACGGGGTCCTATCTCGGGTCTTAGATCTCGGGTCTTAGATCTCTGGGTCTAGATCTCTGTCTTAGATCTCGGGGTCTTAGATCTCTGGGGTCTTGAGATCTCTGGGGTCTTAGATCTCGGGGGTCTTAAGATCTCGGGGTCTTAAGATCTCTGGGGTCTTAAGATCTCTGTCTTAAGATCTCTGGGGTCTTAGATCTCGGGGGTCTTATGATCCTGGGGTCTTCAGGGAGTGAGCCTTGAATCGACTCTTTGGCCTTCAAGAAGTCAATATTTGGGTGAGGTCACTGATTTGTGATCTGGGGTTAGTCTTTGATCTTCTGGGTCTCTGTCCTTGATGATCACCCAAATTGTCAATCAACTTTCAAGAGGCTTTGCTTTATGTTCCTAGAAACACACACACACACACACACACACACACACACACACACACACACACACACACACACACACACACACACATTCTCACACACTCACACACTCTCTCTCTCTCTCTCTCAACATAGTGAAACCTCTGTTTAACGGACTATTTGGAGAGGAAAGTTCCGTTATATCGAGGGTCCGTTAGATATAAAACCATTAACGGATTATATGGAGAGAGGAGTCCGTTATATGGAGGTTTCACTGTATTCCGTTATATAGGTGAGGCTCCAACAGTTATACCTATATAGATTATACTAATTTATATATGGACAATAATTATAACTTGGTATAGGAATTATTTTGGTGGTGGTGGTGGTGGTTGTTGGTGGTGGTTGTTGTTGTTGTTGTTGTTGTTGTTGTTGTTGGTGGTGGTGGTGGTTGTTGGTAGGTGGTTGTTGTTGTTGTTGTTGTTGTTGTTGTTGGTGGTTGTTGTTGGTGGTTGTTGTTGTTGTTGTTGTTGTTGGTTGTTGTTGTCGTTTGTAAGATCCTGATTCTGTCATCTGATTGTGAATAATGGAGTATTTTATGTAAATTGTCTGGGCTCTTTGATTTATTGAACCAAATGCATGGTGGGGTTTTTCCACACACACACACACACACACACACACACACACACACACACACACACAAGCAAGGGAACGTCTTCATTCTTTCTTCTTACTTCTTTCATTTTGGGGGGGACGTTTTTCTTTTTAATTTTTTCTTTCTTTTATTCCTTCCTGTTTTGTTACTCCCATCCTTCCTTCCCTCTTCAGTACTTTTTTCCTGTCATCCCTTCTTTCATTCTATTTTTCTTCTTTCTCTCTCCCTTCCTTCTTTCCTCTCTCTCCTCCTTCCTTCCTTCCTTCTTCCTCTCCCCTTCCTTCCTTCCCTCCCTTTCTTCCTTTCTTCCTCCCTCCCTTCCCCTCTCCCTTCCTTCTTTCCTCTCTCCCTTCCTTCTTTCCTCTCTCCCTTCCTTCTTTCCTCTCTCCCTTCCTTCCTTCCTTCCTCCCTTCCTTCCTTCCTTCCTTCCTTCCTTCCTTCCTTCCTTCCTTCCTTCCTTCCTTCCTTCCTTCCTTCCTTCCTCCCTTCCTTCCTTCCTCCCTTCCTTTCTTCCTCTCTCCCTTCCTTCCTTCATTCTATCTTCCTTTCTTCCTTCCTTCCTTATCGTCTTTCCCAGTTTACTGTTCGAAGCTCCAAACTTTACCCCCTTGTACTTTAGTCGTATTTTCTCTGATTAATTTAAGTTCTGGTTAAGTTAGATTAGGGATTGGTTAAGTTGGATTAGATCAGGTTAACGTTTGTTGAGGTGTCGGATTAGCGGAGCCTCCCAATCCCCGGGCAAACATTCGCTTCAAGGGATTAGTTAGGTTGGATTCGTTTGTTGAGGTTTCGGTGTCGGATTAGGGGATTAGCGAAGCCCGAATCTCCATGCAGACGTTCTCTTAATGGATTAGTTAAGTTGGATTCACTTGTTGTGGTACTGGTGTCGGATTCGTTTGGTGAGGTTTCGTTGTCGGATTCGTTTGGTGAAGTTTCGGTGTCGGATTAGGGGATTAGCTGAGCCCCAATCACCAGATATCCACGTAGCTGCCTCACAGAAAACGGACAGACTCTGGGGTCGGTATGAGAGAAAACGGGCGCTTCCTGGGTTTGGTATAGGGCTACCTTAAACAAATTTATTCATAGGTTGTTCCTTTTGTCTTTTAAGTGGTTGGTTTTGTGACGTAGGGGTTTAATGTTTTAGTTTTGTGTGTGGTATTGTGTTCATTTAGTGTGGTGTATGTACGTAAATTTACCTACGCGAGGGCAAGAATAACGTCACACACAAAGATAATATAAATAATTAGGAGATAGATATATCCAATGGGCTATATTATATTTTTATTTAAATTTTTCGTTCAACATTATCCACCAGTTTTAACCATAGCTCATATATCACCATTTCAAACATGTTAATATTACCTTGTATAGATGCCTGGAGTCCCCTTCACGATCCTTCTAGACCAGTGGTTCTCAACCTTGTTTGCCCCATGCACCCCTTGCACCATATGTCAGAATGTCATTCCCCCCTCCTTTCCAAGATTGTCTGCCTCAAAAAGTGCATTCCAAATAATATGCATATAATACTGAAAATCCTTTATTTTTTCCATATTAGTACATATACATTTACAATTTTACATGGATTATTTTTATAGTGGAGTTTTACAAATTAAATGCCAATTGAAAATGTTGATGGATTTATAAAACTTGAATAAAAGTAAAATAGTTTTTTTTTTTTTATAATGAATTACTTAACAGACCAAACTGAAGCATAATGCAATAAACAAAAAGTTCAATAGAATACCAGGATATTGTAAATTTGTAATTAATTTTATTCAGATGAAGATTACAGTCAATGAGAAACCTGTGATTGTTTTTCTTCGCCAATTCTGGGATACGCGGAGGAGTGCTTGAAAGGGCACAACGCAGGTCATTTTCTACCTCTAATCTACTACGTTGCTTCGTTTTAATTTGCAACAGAGTTGAAAAGCCTGACTCACAAAGATATGTCGACACATACGGAAGCAATGCACGGATAGCTCTTTCTGCCACTTTTGGGTAGGAATCGCACATCGAGGGCCAAAATTATGTGATTGATTTCTCATCGAACATATCTCTTGCTCCTGAATCAGTTTCCCCCCCCCCCTGAAAACCTGAATTCCCCCCCTGGGGGGAATTCCCCCTGGTTGAGAACCCCTGTTCTAGACTCTTATACCGACTGTCACTTGTTTTAATCGGGGTTTTTGCTCCTATGGTTTAAAGTATCGTTTACGTGTTTTTAAAAAATTGTTTTATTTATTTGTATTTTTTATCTTAAGCTTTTGGTTTGTAATTCATTAACGTATTTATTTACGTATTTTACTGTATAATTAGTCATAATTTAATAATAATAATGATGATGATGATGATAAAAAGATCAATACTAATAAAAACAATGGCAACAACAACAGCAATACTACTACTACTACTACTACTACTACTACTACTACTACTACTACTACTACTACTACTACTACTACTAATAATAACAATAATAATGGCAGCTACAACAACAATAACAACAATAATAATACTAACAACAACAACAACAACAACAACAACAACAACAATAATAATAATACTAACAACAACAACAACAACAACAATATCACCACCCCCCGTTTTCTCCCCTAACAGGTGAACGGTAACGTCATCTATGGGAGATGTCACCTGAACGCCTCCAGCATCTTCAAGGGAATCCCAGGCCCTACCGTCAAGATCATCGTCCTCAGGTAAACTCTCTACCTCACCTGTCTCTCACTCTACCTCACCTGTCTCACTCTACCTCACCTGTCTCACTCTACCTCACCTGTCTCACTCTACCTCACCTGTCTCACCTGTCTCACTCTACACCTGTCTCACTCTACCTCACCTGTCTCACTCTACCTCACCTGTCTCACTCTACCTCACCTGTCTCACTCTACCTCACCTGTCTCACTCTACCTCACCTGTCTCACTCTACCTCACCTGTCTCACTCTACCTCACCTGTCTCACTCTACCTCACCTGTCTCACTCTACCTCACCTGTCTCTCACTCTACTTCACCTGTCTGATGCCACCTTACTCTATCTCATTGGACTTTGAAATTGGACTTGGTAATTCGACTTGGGTGGGAATGTTTGCTCTTCATTGGACTTGTAATATATTGTACGACCATTGTGTGGTTATTGGACTTGAGATTGAAAATGGACTTGAATGTTAGATTATTGTGTTGTTATTGGACTTGAGATTGAAAATGGACTTGTATGGTAGATTATTGTGTGGTTATTGGACTTGAGATTGAAAATGGACTTGTATGGTAGATTATTGTGTGGTTATTGGACTTGAGGTTGAAAATGGACTTGTATGGTAGATTATTGTGTGGTTATTGGACTTGAGGTTGAAAATGGACTTGTAGGGTAGATTATTGTGTGGTTATTGGACTTGAGATTGAAAATGGACTTGTATGGTAGATTATTGTGTGGTTATTGGACTTGAGGTTGAAAATGGACTTGTATGGTTGAATATTCACTGATTATTGGACCATTGGACTTGACACGAGAATTGGACTTACAGACACGTGTATATGTGTCTTATTGGACTTGTGTTTGAAATTGGACTTAGGGAAGACGTAAAATTAACGAGATATTAAATTTTAAAGTATTCAACAATATGTTTTCCTCATTAACTTCATTATGCACCATTAACTTCACGTCATTAGGCTCCATTAACTACGGTTTTTTATTTATGTTTTTTTAGCCCTGGAAGATAGAGTTTAAACTCCATTGCCATTCTGTAGGTCCTCCTCCTCCTCCTCCTTTTCCCTCCCTCTCTTCCTCCTCTTCTTGTCTTTCCCCTTCCTCTACCCTTTCATCATCATCTCCTCTTCCTCCCTTTTCTCCCATCTCCTCCCCCATTACCCCATCTCCTCTTACCCGCCATCTCTCCTCTTCCCCCACCTCCCCCTCCTCTTACCCCCATCTCTCCTCTTCCCTCGCCCCCTCCATTCTCCTCTCACCTCCCTCTTCTCCTCTCTCTCCTCTCCCCTCCATTAACTCACGTACTTACGCTCCATTTACTAAGATCTGGTATTTTTTTGTCTTTTTTCTCCCAGGAAGAGGAGCGGCCTGCAGGAGATGGCCATAAAGCCTGTTACCCAGTTCCCGGTGACCCTAGAAGACGAGGTGAGTACATGGACTCTCTCTTGTTGTTTTTTCCCAGGATGGTCGTAGGATGGTGGGAGGGATTGTGGGAGAGGAGGAGGCTGCTAGTAGATGGGATGGGAAGGGATTGAGGGAGGTGGAATGGGGGAGGAGGAAGTAGAGGAGATGGAGGAGGAGGGGATAGAGGAAGGTGGATAAGATGGAGAAGGAGAGGAAGAGGAGGAAGCACTATCAGGTCAGGCTAAAGGACCATCTCATCTCTTGATTATAGGAGGAGAAGGAGAATAAAGGAGAGGAACAGAGGAGGGTAAGAAGAAGGGAAGAATGTGGGATATAGAATAAAGCGAGAAGGAAGAAAAGGGCGAGGAGAAAGAGAAAATCAAAGAAGAGATGAAGTGGGGATATAGGAAGAGGGTAAGGAAGTCAAGTGGACAGGGAAAAGAGGATAATAATAGATGATAAATAAGGAAGGAGAGGAAGAGAAGAGGAGAGAGGGGAGGAAGAGGAAAGAGGAGGAGGGAAGTACTCAAAGGGGGAAAAGAAGAGGAGGGAAGGGAGTCGCCTCTTATCTTGATTAAGGTTGTAAGTCCTCTTGAATTAATTGAAGAGGAACGACCATACAAGTTTCCTTTTGGTCTTTCACTCTTGTGTGTGTGGGGGGTGTGTGTGTGTGTGTGTGTGTGTGTGTGTGTGTGTGTGTGTGTGTGTGTGTGTGTGTGTGTAATCAGCCTCCTCCAAGTGCCTCATAATTAGTGTTACATAACCATAGAAATTATTATATATATTACGAATTATTATTATTATTTACGTTTAAAATAATTATCATAAGGTATTTTAGGGAGAAATTATTCGTCTACTGTAAAAATTATTGGTTTGGGGGAAATTATTTAAATAGTTTTAGAAATTATTATTATTATACCTTGAGAATTATTATATGTACTTAGAAATTATTATGGTGATTATTTATTGAATTATTCCTATGTATGGTTATGGTATATAATTATCATCAATGTTTTAAAGGTAAGTCATGTGAAATTATTTTGTACTTAGAAATTATTCATATGTAGGTAAAAATTATTGGTGTGTACGTAAAAATTATTGTTTACACTTGGTAATTATTGACATGTACTTAAAAATTATTGTGTTTACTTGAAAATTATTGATATGTACGTAAAATTATTGTGTGTACGTAACTATTATTGTGTGTACATGACAATTATTAGAGTGTCATTTTAAAGGTTATTCGTGTGTACTCAGATGTTACTGGTTGTGTACGACCATTATTACTGTGTGTACTGTACTTGAACATGATTGGTACGTGTACTTTGATGTGATTAGGGTTTAGGATTAGTTCTTCGAAGTGATTAGGCCTAAAGATTAGTACTTTAAAGTGATTAGGCCTAAAGATTAGTACTTTTAAGTGATTAGGCCTAAAGATTAGTACTTTAAAGTGATTAGGCCTAAAGATTAGTACTTTAAAGTGATTAGGCCTAAAGATTAGTACTGAAGAATAATTAAGTCTTGTGGTGTACTTATATAATCGAGGTCTGTGAAGTAAGTAAATTGTACAGTGTTGTTTAAGTAAATTTAAGGACATATTAACTATACCACACTACTTATCACTACTTAAAGGTATGGTTTAAGTAAGTGCATCATGTTTGGCTCGACTTATCCTTTTTATAAGTAACCCGTAAGTGATTTAAGACTCGACTTTATGTTGGATTCGAACCTCTGAACCCGGGAAAGTGACGTGTGAACCTCTGAACCTCTCGACACCAATACAGGCATTTAATACGTCTGGCGCTGGTTGCTGAAGCGTGTTGTTACGGGTGAAGGAACGTGTTAGGCGTTGTTGTTCGCTTGTGCTGGCGCTGTTGGTCACTTGTGTTGGCGAAAGTTCTATGCATGGATAAACATTTTTGTTGGTTTCCTTATTAAAAAATACTTACCTAACCTACCCTACCACCCCCATCCACCACCATCCGCCACCACCATCCACCACCAATCACCATCCACCACCAATCACCATCCACCACCAACGCCATCCACCACCAATCACCCAACCAGCACCACCATCACCACCACCAGCACACACCCACCATCCACCACCAGCAACCACCACCATCCACCACCAATCACCATCCACCACCAATCACCATCCACCACCAACTCGATCACAAACTCATTCAACCAAGTTTGATAGGCAGTAAAGATCTCCTCGACCAGACCGGACCAATGTGTCAACCCCTTGAGCAAAAGTTGTGAGCTGTGAGGAGAGACGGGTGTGTTGCTGGACATGGTTAGGTGTGTTGCAGATGGATTAGTGGTCTTTTGGTGTGTGTGTTGCAAGGAGAGATGTCGTTATGGTATGTTGCAAGGAGATGTGTCATTATGTTGTGTTGCAGGAGATGGTTAGGTGTGTTGCAGATGGATTAGTGGTCTATTGGGGGTGTTGCAAGGAGAGGTCTCGTTATGGTATGTTGCAAAGGGGGTGTCGTTATGGTATGCTGCAAAAGATGGTTAGGTGTGTTGCAGATGGATTAGTGGTCTTTTGGTGTGTGTTGCAAGGGGGGAGGTGTCATTGTGGGTGTGTTGCAAGGGATGGTTAGGTGTGTTGCAGATGGATTAGTGGTCTTTTGGTGTGTGTTGCAAGGGGGAGGTGTCATTGTGGGTGTGTTGCAAGGGATGGTTAGGTGTGTTGCAGATGGATTTGTGTTGCGAGGGCTGTAAGTTTGGCATGTTGCAAATGGATGATATGCTTTGGTAGATAAAATTAATGGACATGAGAGAGAGAGAGAGTAAATGAAATACAGTGTGTAATAATAATAAATAATAATAATAATTAACGGTTTATTGAAAGAGCATGGCGGGCGGAAGGCTGAAAATATACAGTTACATATTTGGGGAATGGGTCTCTTGGTTTACAAATGATATACAGGTAACATAAGTGATACAAATATCATATATATAATAATTAGGTGTTGATAATTTTTACAATGGTAGGGACTGGGCTGTTCTTATAGCAATCAGTTAGTGCTTGTATGGGCTGGATGCGGTTGGGCAGGTGTGTGGCCACGTGGCCAGGACAGTAGCTTGGGGCAATACAGGTGTGCTCCATCCTTCAGGTTAGGTCAAGTGAAGCCGTGAGGTCAGGTCAGGTTAGGTCAGATACAGCCACACTCAGTATTACACTGCTGTGTTTTTGTGCTTTTCCTTGGAGTACACTATAGGAACACTGTTTGGCATTCAATCGTTCACTGATCACTTTAATGTTTTGCTGAATAAATCCCGGTGGAGTAAGGCGGTTAGGGCGTTGGGATATAGCAGGGGTTGGGTTGGGGGGAGGGCCAAACAGGCTCGGCCTGGCTGCTCAAACTGGGGGCGCCTTCAGGGCACGTCTTGTCTCGCTGGTGGTTGACAAGTGTGTGTGTGTGTGTAAATCAACGTTGTTTTTCACTCTCTTCCCCCCACTCACTACCTTTCCTCCTCCGTGTCCATAAATATAACCAGATTATCGTACAGGCCAGACGATGTACTGTGTCTGAATACCCCCTCCATTCCCCTCCTTTTCCCTTCCTCCCTCTTTTTTTTTTAAAGAGAAAGGAGGAATGAAGGAAGATTAGAGGTGGGGGAAGGAAGTTATAGTTCGGAAATTGAAGAAATTTAGGAGGAGGTAAGAGAGGGCGGGCTGATCGCCTAGCTAAGCTAATAGTGTGTTAGGGTTGTGTCATGGGTTAGTTATTGTCTGCCGGTACAGGCACTAGACAGCCTACCCTGTCCCATTTATGGGTGTTTTAAGGGCCTTGTTTCATATTCCGCCGACCCTACTGGCGGATGCTGGTCTAGGGAGGTTGTCTATTGCCTGGCCGTGTAGATCGGGGATGGTAATGGACCTTTTGAGATTTCGTAACTTTTTGGGAACCATGTATGATTGTTGTCGTTATCTGGTGGAAGTCTTTGAAGGAGTTCTTACTCTGATCGTTCTATCTTTTGCCAGATTCTGCTGGCCAGTGTGCAGCTGCTGGTTGATGGGTTTCATTCTCAGGTCTCTATGTATCTCGGCTGTGGTTCTGGTGAAGGGGTATCTTTCACCTGTGACGAATCTTAGGGCTTCATTTTGAACCACCTGTAATTTTAATATTTGAGTGGTGCTCATAGCATGAAGAGGTATTGCTGGGTAAGTTAATATCGGTGTGATAAATGATGTCACCAGGCGGAGTTTTATTTTCTCAGGAAGCGCTTTAAAGCGGTATAGTTTTCTCAGCTCTCTTCTTGCTTTTTCCTTCCTGCTGTGGACATGATGGGAGTAATCTGTCGTGTTTATATGCAGGCCCAGGAGGGTGCCTCTGCTTTTGTATTCTATCTGGGCATTATTGGTTACTAATGGATGGGTTTTCCTTCTTCATCAGGGTATCACTGGGAATTTCGGGGGACTGGTTTGGATTTTCCATTGTTTTTCGTAGTTATTTACCCTTTCTAATTCCCGCCTGGTGTTTTCGGCCTGTAACGCTCGCGATTTTCCTTGATGTGTTGTTATTTGAGTGATGTCATCTGCATACATAATATCTTCGTTACCTATTCTAGTGGGAGGCGGGGTGTCACTTGTGTAGATAATATATAGGGTGGGGGAGAGGACGCTTCCCTGAGGGACTCCACTCATGAGTGGGAAGGTCTCTCCTGTGTGTTGTCCTACCCTCAGTCTAGCATTTCTGCCGCCAAGAAAGTTGCAAAGCAACTTTTCAATGTTGGCGGGAAGTCCGAGTTGGAGGATCTTATATTTTAGACCGTCATGCCAGACTTTGTCAAATGCCTTCGCTACATCCCGGAGAGTTAGATTACATTGTCTACCACTCGCCGCGGCTCTGGCTATGTTCTCGCATGCCAGGGCTATCGCTGTTGTGGTGGACTTCCCTTTCCTGAACTCGAATTGTCTGCAGTTGACTCTGTTTGTTGTTTCCAGGTGATTTCTCAGACGGTTATTGATGATTTTTTCTAGGATTTTTCCAGGTATTTCGAGGAGG